TCTGGTCTGTCAATTGACCAACCTGACGACGCAAATTATTTCCCCCATTGCCGTTTTGTCTTTGCCCATTAGAATTTGGTTGGGATGGCTGAGACTGTTGGGAGTTATTGGAAGCAGATTGGTTGTTTCTGTTTCCATATCTCCTATTTCCCTGAGGATTCCTTCTCCATTGGGAATTGCCTTGGTTCTTATTAACCCAGGGGCGTTTATTCCCATTGGTATTGGATTTTTCAGAGTTATTAGAGGAATTTGCAGAATTGCTTCTGGCGTTTTCCTGTTTCTGAGGTTTTGGTGTTTTCAAAACCTCGGAATAGGTCCTCTTTTTCTGTTGGGTTTCTAAACCTAACTGAATTTTAGTCTCTGACACCATTTTATCACCAGGTTTCTTAACCTTTGGCTGATTTTCGTCATGTGCATGGTGTATAGTATACAATTTCATGCACTGACTGACTAGCCATTCTAATGGTAACTTACAATCGTAATCTCTTGCGAGATTCATTTGTATGTTTACCGGCATGGCATGAAAATACAGATCTTTGAAGTCTGTGCTTTCATACCTGGGTTTTCTTTGGGCCACGGAGTATGCATTTTTAAGAATTATTAAAAATTCTCTGGGGCTTTGATCTGGACGGCACTTTAAGTTATAAAGCGCCTTCTTAGCAGAGGCAATGGTTTTATACTTACCATATTCCATGATTATTTCATATTTCATCTTGGACCAGGACATTAACTGTATAGCTTGAAGACTTTCTAGATAAACACGACACATTGAATCAAAGGTCCATGTAATGAACCATTTCTTATGAATGTCATCATACATGCCCAATGAATTCATTGCTCTATCATAATTTTCCAGATGTTCAGATATGTTTCCTGAACCTCTAGAAAATTGTGGGACAGTCTCTCTAAGGAATTTGATGACCTTTGGTGTTTCATAAACAGGCGTCGTTGATTTACGACCTCTGTTTCTGTGTTTGGGTAAACGTCTATGCGATCTGTCTGCTGAAGAGGAATTAGACCCGTACAACAGTGCAGATGGCATATCAGTTACATGGCCTTCAGAGTGGACAGTGCAATCACTTTCACTCCCATCACTCTGAGCTTCTTGTTCACTGTCACAATTCTGATCTGCATCAGAATCCTGCCAGTGTACAGAACCATGTCTGTTTTCATTCCTATCACCTTGAATCTGATTCCTTCTGTCAAGCTTGGCCAGGACAGTCTTTTCAAACTGTTCTGCCCAAGATTGCCAAGAATCTACAGGTGTTTTCTCAGGAATTACTCACATCTTTTCTTAGAGACTGTTTTATGAAAACCTGGTCTGGTGTGTGAATATCAGGAAATTGAAAAGAATCACTTGGGTCTTTTCCCAGTAATCCTTCACTTCCCTTTTGATATTCATCTAGCTGCATCTGTATCTGTTTTATCTGTTGATCATAATCATCCACCATTTTGTTCATTCTTTCCAGTTTATTCAAAAGGTCAGAGTTTAGAACCTGAAGGAGATTATTTTCATCAGACAAAGTTTTGAACCTTCCTTGTTCGAGCACCAGGTCTTTCTGACACTCGTCCAATTTACGTTCTATCTCATTATGCTTTTTTAACATAATAGAATAACCCAATATGAAAAACGGGCATGAGTTGGTAACAGATCGCATTGTAGACTCTTCATCTATATGGCTAAGATATTTAACCATAGGTGAATCAGCCGATCTATCATGAATCGAATCATCAACCTGTTTTTTTATTTGGAGTATCCACTCTGGATAATCAACTTTAATTTTTAGATACTGATATATGATGCTTAAGGGAAAACCTTGCATTTCCGCTAACTTCTTCCCATTCTCTGATTGAGATGAAGCGCTAGATTCAGCCATATTTCTATACAGTGATTTAATCTCAATACAAAACTCTTTTCTATATCAAGATTAAATTGCATGAATTACACCAATATTATTATTATATATGAAATACAATTTCAACTTAAACGATCTCAGCACCGTGCCTCCAATATGTGGGGATATTTATGGGATAATAATAGTAAACAGTTGAGAATTGCCCACTATTTCAATTCTCAGATCCCTAAGAACGTTTATCGTGTTAAGTGGAATGTATTTCATATAATAATATCACAATGTATAAAAATAGATTTTTATTTATATGACAAATTAATTAATAATAATATGTAACATGCATGACAATAATCAATGAATATTCAGTATAAAATGATATGCAATACAAAGAAATGGGTATTACATTACAATGGCTAAATAGCATTTCCTGTCAAGAATTCCGAGGATTTATGAGGTATCCTTAACACAGACTTTTCACAGCTAAGAACAGAATTCCTCAGAGTGCAGCGTAAGGTCGTAAAGTTTAGCAGACAGTTAGAATAACCCTTCCAATGCTGGCTAGATCTCCTAGGTAGTTAAGATCTATTCTTATGTAAATTTTAAATAAAATAACATTTAAGCCAGTTTAAATTCATTTTCTTAAACCATCCATAAGAGAATTTACCACATTATATAAGCAGATTTTTAATTTGTCTAAAAGATATCTATCTTAATTTAGAGCAAATCAATACACCTGGATAAAAACAGCGGTATGCTAACACGTGATAATATCACATCAATATATAATTATTCTTAATTCCACCTGCAGAATGGAATGTTTATAACTATATATTCTTAGTTAACTAAGATTTCTTAATATGGAAATCTGACCGTGCTTTATCCAGTCATATATAATGCTATTAATACATTTTAATTAATTTAATTTAATTAAATGAAACCAGTATAATTACCAGTTGAGTAGATATTTCATCCGATTGGTAGTCTCTCTGCATGGAGGTGTTGGTTAGAAAGTCAGTAAATTCTAAGTGTTAGAGTTTTAGGAGTAGAGTGTTATTCTCAGATGTTGTCCGAGTTGGAATCCCCAAACTTCCAATTCCTCTCTTTTCTCTTTTGCATATCTTGCATCTGCCTCCTCTCCTGTATTTTGTCTCTCTATCTTCCCTTTGTCTTAACTTTTAAAGGGCCAGACTCTCTGTACGTCATCAGTTGATAACCCAATAGAAGCACTAGAGGTGTGGTTATCTTCCAGATCGCAAATTAGGTATTTGGTCTGTAGAGGGCAGTCTTGTCCCACTAAACATACCTATCCAGGAAAGAGTTAACTTTTCCTGGTGGCTATTTTGACGTCATTTTGCATTATCTTTATAGCGCCATAATTTAAAATTTCAAAGGGTTTCTTAAATTTTGTCCAGACTTAGCGTCTGCAATTCCTGCCATAATTTCTGATATGACAGATCATGAACTAAGTTTACCCTTTTCCATACAATGGTACCTTATATATATATATATATATATATATATATAGACAGTTAAATTTTATTATTTAATCTTCTCTGTCACAATTGTCTGGGTTTAGATTTGATTATATTCTTTTAGCATTAGACAGTCTGTCCAACCCCCTTCCTTATCACTTGTTTATACTATGCATACCTTAGCTCTGGCAAAGAGGCCAGTCTTATAGAAAGAAATCTAGTGTCTTCTTTGTTAACTTGAAATAACAAAATGGAGTCTGGTCTGTTCAGAGTGACTCAGAATATACACTTTTAGTTTCTATCATAGCACAAGATGTCTGCCGATATAAATACTCTGACAAGTTGCCGACATATGCACAAACATGGCCACCCTAAATGACTCAGTACACCAACTCCAGACCCAACACAGGGCCATGACAGCCAAACTAACGGCAATGGAAGACCACCAACACCACACACACTAAAATACGTGGCGTTCCCAATACTGTAACAGCGGAGGAGTTACCTCATTACATCCAACGCCTACTAGCCACCATCTTGCCCCACACAGTGGCAAAGAAATTAACAATAGATGGGACCTA